ATCATGATCGCGGTCTTTAGTCGAGAATTTTTGATTTTGTTGTGCTCTGAGAGAATCGCCTGCATTACCTTAAAAAAAACACGATATCAAATCATCAAGTGGTATAGTATGATAAGTTCACATTAGACCACGAGGGCGAGTAGACTACGAGCTGATAGCCCATGAGGCCAAGAGATCTAATTGTTTTAGTATTACCATACTAGTTGGACAAAAAATGAGTGAAATATATAAATAACTAAGTGTTTTTATTGCTAAAAATACGCAAAAAAGTTGTCGCTTTTCGCTAGTCGAGGACTATTGAAAATAGACCCCGAGTAGCGTAGCCAATCAGAACGAAGGATTTGCAATAGTCCACTTGTATATGGTAATACTAATGTCTGATATACAGTGGAACCACGCAAACGAGCCATCTGCGCTAATCTGTAGCTGATAAATGTATACTTGACCAGCTTGGCTGAATAAAGGTTCAACGGAATTTACCTGAGTATTTACCAAGACTCAACCTGTACAAACCAGCCTCGTCAGTCACAGCAAAATAATCGTACTCAGCATAGGCAGTGTCTTCCAGATCAACACGAAGACTGTGTCGACTTTGTTGGGTCAGTTGGTGGATCWTGTCGAGTCCCAACCAGAATTCTCCAGTTAGAYTACCAAARCCAACCTTATAGTCTTKCCATCCCAGAWAAAAGTCTTGTGAGCCATCTTGTCTTCTCTGGATAACTGTCCATCCACCGCCATTAGTTTCTTGGTCACAAAATAACTTAAACGATAAGTGTTTGAAGTGATTAATCAGTTAGCTCGTGAAATCTATTGGCAATATGTACAATGGCTAGAAAAGTGATCTTACTTTAAGGCTATTGCTGAAATTATAGACACCGCTTATTCTGCAGCCACATTGTGAAGCATCAGCACAGCTTGTAGGTACTGAAGATAACAGATGAGACTTAAAATCACGTGTCAACAGTGTCATCCATCTCAAGTAGTTGATCTTTTTGATTGGATTAAAAGTGCTTGCGAATTCTTACCTTTTTCATACATGATGACATCATTGCTTTCCTGACTTGGTCCAGGACAATCTGTTTCCGTAGCGTTCGTAAAGGGGTTACGACAAGTACGCACACGGGACCGAGTGGTTGGACATTTACACCACACACCCCACTGACTCCAAATGCCTTCTAAGCATAGTGATGAATACAACATTAACATTTTACTCTCTTATTTAGTTGTAGGTGATTGTGTCAGTGTCATTTTATGCTGTGGGTCTGAGTCGGGATTTGAGTTACCCTTAAGGAGGGGATCCAGACATTTTTAAGGATAGTATCCGAACTAGGAAATTACAGGATTGGTGTCAGTTAAATGGAGGGGGTCGGAATGTTTTGGAAATCTTTTGTTGTACTTCTTTTGTACATCTTTTGTACGTATTTTTAGGTTGAATCAGTCAAGACCGTGCACAACTTTTTTCTTGCGGACGATGGAAATTGCAAAATGACTAAACATATAAATACCTTCATAAGATTATGAAATTAAAATATTAATTTAATATTGGCTGAAATCTTTTGTGTATTTTGAAGAAATAGTGAAAAGAATAATTTTCGTTCTGTTCAATTAGATGTGACCAGTATGGCTAAAACATAGTTAAACAAAAAGTTTGTGCACGTTCACGCTTGGAAAAAAGTGCATCGCAAAAACCTACAACAAAATTAAAGGCTTCCTAACCATCCCTCTACAAAATATGGTGTCARTAATATTAAGCATTCAACTCCGATACGTTATGGGCTTTAAAACTGCTCGTTGCAGCTTGCAGTTTCACAATGCCTATATATTACCTAAATGTACAATGACGTAATATATTCTTTTTATTTCAAGGATCAATGGCATACCTGAACAGCTGAAACTATTATTGTAAAAATCCGGTATACATTGCTTTTTTTCAGAGCAAGGACTGGACGAGCACAGATTCTGCAAAATTAAACGATGTCCTATGATCAGCACCCGAACGGATTACCACTGATTTTTCAATCACATCAAAGCTTATGTAATAGAAATTGTGCYATTCCTTGTTTTACCTTAATTGGGCAGTATTGAGAACCTTCTTGCGGTATTACGTCACCTGGGTGAGTCACGTGATCGACGTCATTCAACTCGCAAGTCATGATCTGTCCCCACACGGGAACTAAGTTGTACGATACACACGRCCTATTTTCTTTAAAACATCTKGACTGACATTCTTGTAAACCGGGAGCTAGGATTCGAAAKCTGTTGATCACGTGACCTGTAAAGGTCTTGTTTTTGAGGCAGGGAAGATAAACYAGATMTTTGCAACCATTTTCWCCTGTTAAGGTACAATACACAGACAAAATAATCTGAATTACTGTAATAATTTAACTTCACTTATTAACTGGGAAGGAGATTTTTTACCGACTTTGAAAACTACTAAAAGGCACAAATGAGGCCGAGTTTTTGTAAGTGTAAAAAAGTTGATTCGACACACACAGAAAAAAATCTAGCGACTTAACAGTGAGATTATTGAAATATTGGAAAAGGAGAATATAAGCTTTCCATTGGCGTGGCTCCTTATTACAGAAATTCACAGAAGTTGAAGACGGTGATGATAAACAGTAAAAAAAACTGACGGCTATATAGCAACTGTCAAAATATGAAATCACAAAAAAAAACAATAAAAGCTACTTTTCAAAACAGTCCAAAATTAATTACAAGTTTTGAAACTATTTTAAAGTAGCATAACTTCATTGAAATAAATATTACGTCTAGGAATATATTGACGGAAACCTACCGTTGACTAAACCAAGACTAAAGGTCCACATGAGGATAACCAAGTGGAAAACTTTACCTCGAGTCAAACTGAGTGTTGCATAATAATCGAGCATTTTTTGGAGTGACAACACTCCTTGTGACATCCAGATGTGCACAAAAATTGATTGTGGTGAATATTTATAATGTCAGTTCTCTGCATGTGGCAAAGCCAGGCTATTTTGGGTGATAATTGAATCACCTAATTGAATTGAATGCTTGCCTGTATGTATAGTTGGCTTTATATCTCAGACGGTGGAGCACTGCACCGGGCGACCTAATTGCCACTAATTGCCACTAATTGCCACATCCATTGCTATGAGATCCGCTCTGCAGCTGATGGTAAATTGTATTCAAAACCATCAAGATTAAACTATACAACTCAACTCCTTCTCTAGATCAGGTACCAGATTCTGGAACTCTTTACCCAAATCAGCCAAAGACAGTCAAACATTTTCATTTAAAAAAAGATACGTAATACTCTTTTTTCTATGCTTATACATGAAGAGAGCTATTTTGAAATTGGAAGAGCCACACAGGTCTTTTCAAAATATTATTATTTACCAAGTGAATCTTGATTGTGCCAACWATAAAATATACTATACTTATCAACATTCTCTATCTATTTCAATTTAATGGTGCTGCCTTCAGTTTGCAAATAGTTTGYAAATAATTTAATTTAATTTGCATTTTGTACTTTTATCTGACCTTTTAAACTCGAATAAGTGCATTGGAAGTATATTATACATATATAATCAGTGACCTGCCTTAGAATAGTTTTAACTAGTTGCAGGTCACTGAAATCCACAAATGCATCTAATATATAAGAATATATAGTAATAAATTGAAATTGAAATTGAATTGAAATTGACCARAAAGGGACTAGAAAGAGCATCCGAGCAATTGAAAGTGCGAATGAAAKGAMATCAGTCACTAAAGAGKTACTTTWTCGTTTTCACKTTTTGAATTYGAGTCTGCAAAACACATTACTAAGAYTTACACCATCGTTAATGAATTTTGYTGCTTCAGCTCAAACWCAATATTATGCAGACTRTGAAGAAAGTCGTGGTCCTTTCCACTAATGACGTCATGCTTTTTTGGCGCGCGAATGGCATCATGGTATTGTGATAAAAGTACCAAGATGGCAGATGCCATGCAAAACTAAAGAATAACATTACTTCGCGAAGAGAATGGTTAGGAAATATAATACAAGATCAATACATACTAAACCACGTGGTYTCAGTCGGATTATCCAGTCTCATCTCCGGGGTTTCTCTTTTTTTTTGTTTCTCTTTTTTTTCAAAATGGCGTCGTTGCGATGACTCTTCTCGAGCGACCGCCATTTTGCGAGCAGAGACGGACCTGGAGACGAAGTTAGGAAACATCGTTTCACATTTGAAACAAAAAACGCTCACTATTTTAGGTTCATGAATTAATAAGTACCAATAAGTTTGAATATGATAAGTTGTTTATTTTCTGTTTTCAAAACTACGTTCGTGCGAAACGCAGCCGTAGTGTTTTCACCGTACATACATAGGCTGATTATAATATAACTGATTGTAAGAATATACCAAGACGAACGCACTTTATCCGTCAAACAGAAGTACATAAGTTCTGATTCCAGACGTGGATCGATACATTGAAGGGGAGAGGCCGTCTTTCCCTCTAAAGGGGAAGAATCTGTCACTGAGTTATCGATAATGCATTACAATTAAGTTTTAGTTTTTATTTTTGCTTGCTATGGACCTCTGAAGCTTTTTACGTCATATATATACCGTATACGCAATACATTGTAGATATGTTTGGGAAAAAACATGGAGGATTTCGTTTGTTTCTCCACAACAGGGGCGGATCCAGAATTTTCCTCAGGGAGGGGTGCGGGGCGCCCAGTAGGGAGTGCACCCCACAAAAAATCATTGCCATGAAGATACAAAATAAGAAAGTATTGAAGGATACAGATCTCGGGGGGGAGGGGGGCGCATTAGAAAGTATTGAAGGATACAGATCTCGGTGCTGGGGGTGCGCACCCCCTGCACCCATCAGCTGGATCCGTCCCTGCACAATGCAAATAAAGTTGGTGACGTAAAAACTTCAGTCTATTTCGATCGTCTGTGTGTCGACTACGTCAGTTAAACTGAACATTTAAAAAAAAACCTATTGTTCTATTTACTTTTGAAACGGCCGTGTTTTGACACGAACAGTTCCTTTTCCCTTCCTTGAATCGCGGGCGACCGACCGCACATCACGACACTCAGCTCTTCTTCACTAGGAGAGTCACTTTCAAGTCGATTTTTTGTCAATTTTGTTAAATTCTGCTTAGGAGATTTTCGGACTACTTGTTGTCCATTATCCTGATCTTTCTTTCTTTTCCTTTTTCCTATAGTTTCTCTTTGCCCAGTATCAATAATTATCGGTGGCAATCGTACGCTAGATTGACTTCCCCTGGGCGAATGCACTTGGTTAGGTAATTTTATTTGACCAGCAGTATTTTCATTGTTGAGCATGTGTTCATCAGTTTTTTTAATTGGARACTTTTCACCKTGTTGAAGGCTGGGTAATTTGTTGTCAYCATGGTAATGACTTTTGTCTTTTTGAGKTTGTTCTTTCGGGATGACTTTGACTGGTTTGATTGGTAGATTGAGGCTCATTCGTATTGAGGCATCCCGGATGTACTGGTTSACAGCYTCCTGTTCAACGCATTGCTTTTCTTTTTCTAGTGCACCTTCGATGCTTCGTCGTAATCGGTCAAGCGATGTTTCGGCTGCCTCCTTCTTCCTTTTAGCTGTTTGTTGTGAATATCTTTCCATCGATGAGAGTCTGTTCAACAGAATTAAAATGGGGACATGTATTGTTAGATAACGGAATTGTTTCACACTTGGAATGAAGTCATTAAACACTTGAACCAAACCTTTGAATATTAAAATGTGATGGTCAAATAGACACGAAAGAAAACAATRCAATTAGAGTGTACTAAGATGTGATAGTGTAAAATCTATTTCAACGGTTTATTGACTTGACTCYATGTGGCACGCATTCCGGCCACTTACATGTACACCATATGAATAGAGAAAGCTACTTCATCTAAAGTTTTATCAGAAAAATTCAAAAATAAAAACGTCTGAAAAGTCAAATTGTACTTTGTATTCTTTGTTTCTTAATGTATTTTGATTCAGGGAAGTTCGGTGATGTTCGCCTAAGCGCGCGTTTACCGGTTAGACCGTCTATGTTAGGCTACAATCGTTGACAAAATCCTTGGACAATTCCAGCGAATTTCCTAATTTTAGGCAACACCCGCAGACAATTTCATCCCCCCTGAATGCAATGTTGTCATTGAGCATGTTACCATTAGTACACAAGCATCCAAAACAAGACCCAACATTATTGATGAAAGGGGGCTAAGGGGGAAAACTGTGAAAAATAAAGGATAAAAATGTTAGGCTGGAGACAAATAATTGTACGGTCCWGGGTATTTTGGCAACGATTGTAGGTGAGTGTTTTGAACTTTTTGAAACTTGATTATGAAAATAACTAGTATAAAGTGCTCTCTATTTGACCCACAAGCGTCTTATATGAGAGTCACACGGCGCATAACTAAGTTCGGTATTTCAAACTTGCTTGCTGCGCTCTATCGAGTTTCTGTGGTGTGTTATTACTTACCAAGATATTTTAATTAAGCGGTCTACTAATCAGAGCGTAGCAAGACTCTATTGACCGTTTTCAGCCATCTCATGAAATTAAAAAGAAATAAAAGACCGGCGGCCATGTTGGAGGAATGAATAAAGGATACTATTATGAGAAATCCTTTGTTGAAGTTCCCCCAAGATGGCCGCTGTGAAAACGAAGAATTCATTCACGAACAGATATTTTCCATGCACTTATTTGATATGATGGTCGCTTTTTTTAATAGACATTGTTTGTAACATTACTTCTGAAAGCAACCTTTACGCTTTGACAAGTTATTTATRTTGTTTTGTGAAAAGCTGAACAAAGGAAGTGTTTGTTTCAAGTCACTTTACTTCAAGTGGAACTTTAGTAAGTGCTATCACCACCTCTAGTCGAATTGACACCTTTTTAGTCATAGCTTTTACCATCCAAAAGATTTACATGTGAAGAATCCTAAAACAGTATTTTTAGCTCAATGAAAGTCTCAATTATGTCATGAATGTATCTGTAAACAAACATGTCTTGGCATTTTTATTTGGTTGTCTTGGTGAAAACAATCTCATCTTCTCAATGTTTGAATAACTTTACATCCGTGCACGCGTCTGAAACACTCTACATGTAAGTGACTTACTTATTGAGTCTGTTAAGGGATTAAATCATTCAAATGCAGCTGTGAGATGGTGAACGTTGTTTAGTCTATAAATTATTCACGCAGAGTTTGAAAATTAACACTACTTCGCACATAACAAGACATAAGTCACATAATAGCAAGCATTTGGCAGCATGGACGGAGAATGCAACAGATTGTGTACTTTTCAATGTACAATCACTTTCAAGAAGTCACAAAGCAACAATTTTACGCAGTGAACTGCCTGCAACATGTTAAACTTATCCTTTGGTTTCAACACACGGCGACGCCGTCAAATCGTGATATGATACTTTCAAACTCGATCTCATTTATATATCCTTTGGACTTTTATATCAAATATTCTTCGCCACTAAAATGTTGATATACGTACCTCAATTTTCATCCAAATGTTAGCCAACCATGTTGTGAGCATTTTCTAAGTGATTTTGCCATGATTTTTGCTCTACATTACAAGCTAAGTTTCTTGTGTTTTCAGTGACCTAACACCGTCAGTCACACTTCTGGATCAAGTTAATTTGTCCGTGACGATCAAAATTGCAAATGTTTTACATAACAAAGGCTTGTAGACGTCATTAAAACACTTTTAAAGAACTATGGCATTGTCTGTTGGTTTTAATGATCTTAAGAAGAGTAAGCGATTCACGCTTGTAGCGGCAACAGTACTAGCATCAACATAATCATAATCATTATTGATATCATTATTTTTATCATAATCATTAAAAGCACTGTTACAAAAAATACCTCTCTCCCGCTCTCTCTCTATAAAAAAGTCACCGTTCTTTAGATGACATCCGAAACATTTATATTTATGCTTTCCTTAGGAGAAACAAAAGCATCAACCAAAAATAACAACAACATAGACCGCAGAAAGACGACATAAAATGTATTTAAAAAGGCACAGGGCTCCCAAAGAAAGTTGACGGACTCCCTGTGCTTACCTGGACATGCGCACTTCCCAAATACGTGGCAAGCAAAGAACGGAGGAACGATGAAGTTGTAAATATTCAACAAGAAAACAATGCAAATTTATGGAAAGTGAATTTTTTCCTTTTTAACAGCGATGTCTATGTCCTGAGAACATCTTTTGCATTTTGTACCCTGTAAATATTTCAGATTTCTTTGTGGAAAAGATGATTTTTAGCCGAATTACAACAGCTGTTGTTGTAGTCAGCTTCTTCCTTGTCGTTAGACAAAACTTTGGTAAGTCAGCAATGAAACTCGTATGGCTATGTGTGACGATGTATTTATAAARTTTAAATATTTCTTATTRCAGCTGATGAAACCCACCGTAATGCAGGRAATACAAATACTCAAATGCCACAGGTGAGTTCGAGYCTTACTGCTTGCTATGAAAGAAAAGTTTTTTATCGTATGAATTATTGTTCCTTCCAGGTGCTTTCCAGGTGCTTTCATCACTGTTTGCTCTCGTTTCTGCAATGCTTGCTCAATATTTTGAAGAACATAGTGGGGTTTTGCTATGCACCTAAAAAATATCAAAGTTACACAAAATAAGTATAATCATGTCTGATTGAAATGAATGGCCAAAACTTTCACTTTTTGGGCATTCATGAAAGGGGATAGCCCACCTTTGTGATCACAAATGCCCTGCACAATTGCTCTTAATATTAGTGAAATATTTTTCCTTTTGGAAGTTTTGTACATATTTCTTAATAATGTCCCACTTTGTGTCCAATATTTTTTTTTTTATTTTGCATTGCTGTTTAGTGCTTAGAGCTTAATAGGGCTGTCCTGACATGGTCGTTGCTGTGTAACTTGATGTAAGCTTGCATCAGTTGAATGCATGCTTTTATTTGACTCTTGGCACAGGGAGCCCAAACATTACCAGTGAATGCTCAAAATAGTAGTGATATATGCATGTTTGAAACTGCTCCTCAAGTCAAACTATCCTTAAATTTTTCTCATGATTTCAATCGTGATGTAGAATGCATTGATTGCTCTTATTTACTAGTGAAATATAAGATGCATGATTTTATTAAGCCTTATTGAGAGAGAATGCAGCAAGCTATTTTCCAATGAAATCCCCATATTTCACTCCTTCAATCTCTGTATATGTTTTTGTAGGAGGCGTCACAGTCCGCACAAGACAAAGATACATCAACAAAAGATGAAAATCAAAATCAACAAAACAGTAATGAACTAGAACAACAAAATGTTGACACAAATACAGAGAACTCTAAAGACAATCCTAGCAATCTAGAACATAAAACTATTGAACAAACTATCCATGAAAACATGAAAAATGACAATATTGAAAAGCAGACTGTACTAGAAAATATTGAACATGAACAGAAATCTRTAGAAAGTAAACAAACAGGAACATTAGAAAATAATCCTGTTGAAACTGAAGCTGTAAATGAACCACTTGTCCAAGAAGAAGAACAAGTTATCAYAAGAGAAGAKACAAAGGACAGCTCAAAACAAACTGAAAGAAAACCATTAAAAAATAAACCAAAACATAAAAAGAAAGGAAAGAAAAAGAGAAAATCTAAGAAAAAGTCAGACTATGATTATTATGATGATGCTGGTGATTATGATGATGATTACGCTGATAAGTATGATGACTATAATGATGAGTATCCGAGAGGAGATTATGATGATGAATCTGCAACAGACCCAAGGGATTATTATGATGGTGATTATAATGGACCMCCCTCTGATAGTCCTCCAACTGAATCACCGTATGACGAGGAGCAAGTGAAAGAGATCCATGAAGAAGCTGCAGAGGAGATTAAGGAAATGGGTGAGTAAAGATAAATGAATAGATAGATGGATGGAAGGGATGTGAAGGAATTTCATCTTATTTCAGCATTGAATAGCGAAGGTTCAAATAGGGTGAAGGGAGAACCAGGGAGAAGAAAAACCAGAGTAGAAGGCTAAAAAATATTTTTTCTTATGCATTTTAAGAAAGTTTCCCAAATTTCTATTGTTTATAGTATTATTAGTGCTATTTTTAGTAGTAAATTAGACTCTTTTTGTGGCCATCTTGGAGGAACTTCAACAAAAGATTGTATCTCATTAGTATCTACATGTACAGTGTATTGCTCATTCCTCCAACATGCCCCCCAGTCTTTTTTCTTTTGACTATCATGGGAGTGATGAAAATGATCATATTACACTGAAATTGGTGTGAAATACAGTTAGCTATCTTGAATAAAGAATTGGCTTCCAGACTTGAAGGCATAAAAAGAATATTAAATCCATAATATCTTATTATAATATTGACTTTATTGGAAGTGTCATACTGCACTGCAAAACTATTATAATGTACTGTATGCATGTAGTGTGTGAACATTTCAGGAAAAATGAAAGATCCAGACACTTAAAGTAGTTGAACATCATTATCTTTATATTGTATTTAGATCCTCCTACTTCATCACAACAACTCAAAGATGAACTTAAAGATGAAATAAAACAACTGAAAGGTTCAGCTATTGTCATGATATCTTGATAGCATGCACTAAAATGCACTAATATGCTAATGACAATGGCGTAACCTACTAAYATTTAACCAGTGATAATGGTTTTATACTCCTCCATTTTACAGTCCTTAAATGAATAAYGTAATACTTATAGCTGCATGCAAAGGCACRGGSTGCTTGTGATTATWATACCAGCATGCTATCTCACAGACACATACATGGWAGTCCAGTTACAAATTGTATTGCACAATGTAATGTATTGTAGTATTAGTACTGGAAACTGTATTGTCATRAAATCAAAAACAGGATTGAAAAATGAGAAACAATGRCACTAACCTTGAGCAGTGTTATATACTACAACAATGCTACAGTACATGATAAGTTGAATTTTTCTACCATACATKTAACAAAATATTAATATAAATGAAGTAATTGTAACCTCAGCTTGCCTATAAACTTCATCTGAAATGCTTACATGTACTTAACAGCATGCCAAGTTGACTAATACCTATCTTTTTATCATCACTATTTGCACTATTTTTTATGAATTTCATTGATAAAATGACTTTAGTATTTGCCTTATTAAGTTTTTTTATTTTACAATCTGCAGAAGAGAATGAAGCAATGAGACTTAAGAATGAACAACTTAAAGGTAGGTACAGTATGCACTTAATAAAGTGGTGAGAACAAAATATTGGTCATTTTACTTGTTAATAGTCTCCTTCATGCTTCCCTTTACAATCTTAAATGGTAGCTGTGCCTCTGCACCAAAGCAAGACAACTGTTGAGCGTGTTATAATAGAAACCCTGTTTCACAGCAACAGACATTTACTCATTGGTATATCGTAGTTTGCACACTTAATGGTTGTCTTGGTTAAGACAAGTGTAATTGCACATCAATCATGAAACTATTTTCAGTATATTAAATGAATGAATGTACATGCATGATGCCAGGATATGGTATTAAATGAATAAATATATGAATGGTTATCATCACCTTACAGAAAGGGCTGGTTATCTTCAATATCAGGAAGCTCAGCAACTATTAAATCAAACCAAACCAAGTTATAGAAAGTAAGAAGATTTGTTAGTATGATCTACATGTATCTACATGTAACATGCTGCACAGGCACAAGTCTGCTGTAACGCCAGATAAATGTACATGTACAAAAGTTACAATTAATATTACAACTTTAACATTACAGAGCTTACAAACTGCTAGARGAAGCTGCTCTTGTTCATAATTTCACTGAAGCACTCGAAATGGTAGCATATTCATACTTGGTAAGCTTAACTTCAAAAAATCCCACACTACAAGAGATTAGCATTGCAAAAGGAACATTGTCATTGTCAGTTTGTTGGTATATGTTATGAGGGAGGTACCTGTCTGCAAACCAGTGAATTTTATGTTWTATTGTCCTTTATAGTTTGGTGATTACCTACCAAGGAATGTCACTAAAGCTTTTGAGGTCTTCACTAAGCTGGCAAAAGACGGTTCTCCTGTAGGTCAACATGTAAGTGTCCTGTTGGAAATCTCACTACATGATCATGTAACGAGAAATGAGAATGAGTCAGAGKGAAAAAAAATCTAGTTTGTAACATCTAAGTTTTGGATTAAAASTGAGGAGTTGTGATCATAGTACGAATACAATGTTTCGACTTTAATTCAAGTCATAATCATGTACATCATAAATCATTTACAAGATGMAGCTTTCAAAAGCTCCATCTTCTGACTTATTTTCATTTCTCTATATTGACATGGATCATGCACCATTACTTAAAGTTGCCTGGTGTGTTCTTTTTAGGGTCTAGGGTTCATGTATGCTGCAGGCATCAGTGTGAATTCAAGCCAAGCAAAGGCCTTGGTTTATTATACATTTGCTGCTCTTGGTGGAGACACAAAGGCACAGATGGCACTTGTAAGGATTACAATAAGTATTAGTACAACAATTTTGTACTACATATTTCAGACTTACTGTAGACAATGTATAGTAGCTTAGTACCAGGTTTTCAAGTCTTGTAAAACTCAATGATCCTTGGCCAGCAACTTGAATAAGAACCAGTTGARGAAAGAAAGAGCTAACTCTTGTTGCCTTAGTTTGTTTAGTGGGCTCATGCATTACAAACCATGTTTATCCAAATGACAATATGTCATTCACACTTTCTAGCCAGTCACATTCACAGAGAATAGAGAAAAGCTGCAATATTCATTTTATGATGCAGCATCTTCCCTCATAGTATTTTAGGCAGAGAAAACTTATTTTCATAAGAACAGAACTTATAAGCTTTCAAAAGTTTAAATATTGCCAGACTGCAGTCATTGCCAGACTATAGTCACTGAGTTGTCAATGCTATAATTGCTGATTAAAAAAAATATTTTTCGCATTTAGGCCTATAGGTACTGGGCAGGAGCTGGAGTTCAGACAAATTGTGAAACTGCCTTGACTTACTACAGAAAGGTTTCTAATAAAGGTAAACTAGATAATGCARTTTATGTTTGTTCTTGGTATTATTTCCATACATTATACTAGTCTGGTCATGCTACATGCATGTGTTTTATTGTTGGTGTTGATGTTGTTTTTATTTGTAGTTGCTGAAGATGTTTCCTTAACTGGAGGACCAGCGTTACAAAGGATAAGACTGATAGATGAAGATGAACAGGTCAGCCATTATTTTCAATAAAAATAATTTTTGAGTTAACTTTTATTTATTATATATTTTATTTATTTTATAAGGCATGTATATAATATATTATACCCAAATGCTCTCTAGATGGGTCTTGATAATACTGGCCTAGTGTTCATCTTGTCACTCCACCAATCTATTTAAAATGGCCTGTTTGATGTCTTTTCAGAGTGGTAACAATGCCGTCCTTGATGATGATCTGATCCAATATTACCAATTCTTGGCTGATAAAGGCGATGTACAGGCTCAGGTAGGTGTTTACTATTGCATTCTCAAACACACCTGGGATTTGTTTATCCAGTGTATAGATTCTGTCTTGTTTTACTTCACAATATAAGAGTGGATTCATCCTTAGTGTGCGCCACCTCCCCCTCTTAGCCCTGTTAGTGTTGTTCTAAGAAGCTTAAGTTCAAGACAAGAAAATACTATAATTATTACTCTAGCTTACTGACTCACAGGAGTGAGGAGTGGGTAAAAAAGGGTGGAGGGGGAGGAGGAGGGTTCAAGGGGGATGGAACTTATAGTACATGCAGATTTGTAGTTTTGCACTGTTACTTTATTGTTATTTTTTTTGTTTCATACATGTAKGTTGGACTGGGTCAGCTGCACTTCCAAGGTGGTAGAGGAGTTGAAGTAGATCACGAGGTATGTTAATACATTCAATATTGAATTAAAATATGCTATGCAGKGATGACAATTTATGGAAGTTGTCCAGTTATCCATAGCCATTGCTCCTTTTTTTGTTCTTGAAAAATAATTAAAAAAGTGTACAACAAAAAGGTAACAGCTTTTAGGGAGCCTGTTTATGGACAATAAAAATGCAAGGACTACAACTCCCAATCTGCTTTGTACATGTATCAGTAATAGTACAGTATTGTCATTCTTACTAATTTTCTTTAAGAGGTTTGATGTCTTTGATGCATCCYGTTTTTCTATTTTTGTTATTAGAGAGCKCTGAGATATTTCCAACAAGCTGCTGATGCAGGCAATGCTAATGCAATGGCTTTCCTAGGCAAGGTAAATGCACTCTTGTTGTATGGATGGTTGYAGTCAGAATGTTATTAAAAATCAATYGTTTCAATGGATASTTGTGTGGATTTGTTATTGGAATGCGTACTTAGGCTCTTTGCTATTTCATTGTGCAGATGTATTCTGAAGGAGGTCATAATGTGAAACAGGACAACAAGACTGCTTTCAAATGGTTCAAAAAAGCAGCAGACAGGGTAATTTTATATTGTGTAGCTGAAATATATTGTGTCTATCAGGAGAGCTGTCTGCCTTTGATCAAGTGTGAATACAGTGTTTGTCTAGAAAAAAATGGAAAAGGGTCCGATTTTAGTTTCTGCGAGTTGATCTGCAAGATTTGACATAATGTAGTTTAATCAATTGTAAGAAATACTGTAAGCCATTACTTATATTAGGTATTTATTATATGTTATTTTACAGGGCAATCCAATAGGTCAAAGTGGTCTTGGGCTGATGTACTTGCTAGGCAGAGGCGTGGAGAAGGTTTGTATTACTGTCAACATACTGAGTGTCATGATACAGTACGAAGATCAAATACGTCCTTTTTGTACATGTGTAGATAAGATATCACATTGTATGGGAAATGCGTGATTTACTAATTGTTCTAATTCATGTTATGTATAATTGTCTTTTTTATTGAAGAACTATGAAAAGGCATTTGACTTCTTCAAGCAAGCTGCAGAACAAGGCTGGGTTGATGGTCATCTACAGATAGGAACAATGTATTATCGTGAGTCAAAGAGTATACAGCCTTTTGCAAAAATTATGAGAATTGTCAAAATATCTAAATATCATAATATCAAGTGCATGATGGGTAATCGCGCGCCAGCCCTTTGTCACGAACACGCGGGTTTGCTAGAATAATTCATTCATGTTGACATCGAGAAAATAATTCAGTTCAAATAGTTCAGAACTACGGATAAGTCTGTCGCCGCCGAAAAAAACTAAACTACAAAGACAAAGGACAAAGGAAATCGAGCGGGATTACCCATCATGCAATTGATATTATGATATTTAGATATTTCGACAATTCTCATAATTTTTGCAAAAGGCTGTAATTATTATTTATATCAATATCATTAATCATGAAATACCTGTATTTATCATATAATTATCTAAATACCTATTTTCTACCACACTTGTGTAAATAATCCAGTTTCGAATTCTTCAATGCTCTGTGTTAGCCTCATTTGTGCGCAAAATATTCGTAATTGTGAGAATAAAAGTGTGAGATTTCATATCAAATCTATTGTCTTTCTTTTCAAATTCCATGCGTTTTCTCGGCCTATCAATGAAACAAAAGAATATGTTACTTCATTTTGAGGCTAACACAGAGCAAACCAGAACTCGAAATTGGAGTATTCGCGCTGATTGGCTGGTGTCAATAAGAGGACATGCAGACTGTTCAGACACCATCATGTCTCCCACACCTGCTCATTTAAAAGAAAATAATGATTTTTGCTAATTTTTAAAGTGTGGTAAAACAAATTGTGTTTTTTTTTGTATTTGACATGTTTGCAATATTACAATGTGATGAATGTCTTTGTTTTTTTTTAGATGGTCTTGGTGTCAGACGTGATTATAARATGGCCATAAAATTCTTCAATCTTGCTTCTCAGTCAGGTATTATTATTTTTTAACCTATTATTGTAGAGATGATTAATCCCTAGCACAAGTACATGTACTACTTAGAATAATTGATTAGATATTAGACAAGTATAATTTATTGCCTTGTTTGTAATATTTTTTGCTGTGGCTGTATGTATTTGGTGTTTTTTTTATTGAGTGATTCTCATAGCATTGTTGTTGTTTATATTAGGTCATGTTTTGGCTTTCTATAACCTGGCTGTAATGCATGCATCTGGTACTGGTGTCTTGAGATCCTGTCATACAGCTGCAGAGGTAAGTGGAACACAAACAGTAAACACCCTTTTAATAAGTCCTGAGGTATTGTGTTCTCCGCATTTGACGTCAAATTTATTCTTTTGAAATTTTTACAATACAAAAGGAATTCAAAAGAATAAATTTGAAGTCAAGTGCGGAGAACACAATATATATACCTCAGGACTTATTAAAAAGGTGTATACCACAAACCTTTTATATATTTAAGAATAGTAGATAATGCTCAAATGTTACATCTCATAGCATAATCATTATTATATTTACCATTTTCAGCTGTTTAAAAAYGTTGCTGAGCGAGGTCGTGTTGCCAAGATTCTAATGGAAGCTCATGAGGCATACAAAAAAGGACAAATAGATACTGCGCTTTTAAAGTATGCYATGCTAGCKGAACTRGGATATGAAGTTGCACAGAGTAACGTGGCTTACATCTTGGATAATAGTATGTTTATTATTAATATCAAGATACTGATATAGTCATTCTCATTAACGTTGTTCTTTTGTAAAGACAAAAACACTCTATGCATATCATATTTCAAACTTCTTTTCAWGAATATTATTTCAACATAAAGTTCAAAACCTTATTTAGAATGTCAAAAACAATAAATTATTTGATATTTATCTAAAAAGCCTAATTCAAAATTTTTCCTGCAAATTAAAGAAATTGGTGTTGTCTTTATGTCTTTACAAGTGAACAATGTTAATGGGATTGAATATACACCTACTTGCAGAAACGTTGTCATAGAAAATAGAACATTCGAATTTAGTAAAAAGGAATAAATTAAAACAAAACAAAAGAAAGCGTTTAGCCTCAGTGACCTTCTTTTGTCTTTATAATTTATTCCTTTTTACTAAAATACAAATGTCCTATTTTCTATGACAACGTTTTCGCATATAGGTGTATATAAAAATGCTCTTTTATCAATCAATCAAACAAACTTTATTTAAAAACTGGGAAAAAGTCAAAAAATCTAGTCTCCTTCACATCCGTTTTTGTGTCTGGGTTTCTAGTCAAAATCAAAACACATTAAAAAGATTGGTACTGTTTTACATAATTGCTGTGTGGGATGTTTCCTAGTCTGTCATTTTATTATTTATTTTATGGCTAATTTTATTATTTGGTGTTTCAGGACTATCAACAATTATCAACAAGACTGAAACATTCCCACGTGCCTTGCTCTATTGGACACGTGCTGCATTACAAGGTATTGGCACTATACAATAATTTKAACTCAATTATGTTGGAGCTAATAACTACAGTAATAATAAGGTCTAGATATATCTAGGCTATTGGTACCTTTTTCTGTCTTTTCTCTAGTGTTGTATAATATGTACATGACTCAAAGCCAATTTTGCAAATTCCTGATTGCTATCATGTCAAGTATAACTCCATTTGGTGGAATACTATTTCCAGTAATTAAAGGGACATGGTCCACTAGCATGCAATGTGGTTGTGTCCATTCGCAATCCGTTTCCATCCATCGGATTAGAGATCAAATCTTAAAGCATCTCCATTCATATAGGATAAAGGAATAATAAAGAGAAAGTTTTTGCGTATATTACGATGTATTTCTATTTTCAAACAAAATCTCCAAAGGGATGCTGATGAAGCATGTCCCTTTAATTGTTACTGTAATGTCATGTTCATCTTGACAGGAAACACCCAAGCAAGAGTCAAAGTTGGTGACTACCATTACTATGGTTAYGGTACAGAGGTTGACTATGAAACAGCTGCCCTTCATTACAGACTTGCATCTGAACAACAGCATAGTGCCCAGGCCATGTTTAACTTGGGCTACATGCATGAGAGAGGGCTGGGAATGAGACAGGTAATTATCCAACCCGCACACAATTTTGATTGGAAAGTACACAAAACACAATCAATGGAATTTACTTGGTAATGATTGGATTAAACTAATTCTGCTATAATTATTGTCATTTCTAGGACATCCATTTAGCCAAACGATTTTATGACATGGCAGCACAAACAAGCCCAGATGCCCAGGCTCCTGTTGCACTTGCTCTGCTCAAATTGGGTGTACTTTTCTTTTGGGAGTGGGCAAGAGAGGTTAGTAAGACATCAAAAATTAGACCGTGTTCAAAGTGTTCAAAGTATTTGATTTTTTGCAAGACTCAAATCTACTGTAGTCAAACAAGTCAATATCATGAGGGTAGATCGGTTAATTTATCCTTATTTGAAGGCGATTTGATTTCTGCAAAAATAGCATTCATCATTTTTTGTTGATCATATGGCCACCTATTTGATCGTAGTTTAAAATCTGTTATTTGATATTTGACTGTTATTGGATTTGGGTTTAACATTTTTATTAGAAATTTGTATTTCTTATAACATTTTTTAATATTTTGTGTTTTCATTGTCAATGATAATATTGTTTGTGTTTCTTTTAGAATTATGATTTCTGGAACAAGATTGACCTAGCAAAACTGGCTGGACAAGACTGGGATATATATTTGGTTACCATTCTAGCCTTAATATTTGGAATGGCTGTGTTTATACGAAGGCGATGAAAGAACCCATTTTAACCTGCCCTTCACTAGGGTGCAGATTTATACCACCTTAGTACAGATAGCTCACAACAAAACACTAATGTGTGCTACTTATGGAACAAAYACAAATATTGTAGCTACAAATTATAGACAATTATTCTAAAAAAAGAAGAGAATCAAGAATKGTGCRTCCATTGGAACCAAGGAGTAGTTTTCTGTGGCTTGTTCACAGGAAAATATTCAATATTAGGAGCAAGGAAGGAATGACAGAAAGTTAGCTCTGTGTTCTTGTGGATGGAAGTACTGCATTTAAAGGAAACAATAAAAAAGAGATCTAGAAGAAAAATTTACTACAGAACTGACTACAAACCTGATGTGAAAACTACAACAAATGTCAACTTAGGTGTATATTTATGTCGTTCAATTTTAAATTATATTTTTTAACAATTATAGTATAGCCATTCAACTTGACTTTTTGTGTTTAGGCACTGCATGTGTCAAAGTAAGAAAACTTTAGGAAAAAAAACGCAATAAATATGACAAGCTCTGGTTACAGGCTAATCATTTTGATACTGCAGACTCCTGTAGTTGTTGTCTGGAAGTCATGCATGCCTGATGTTGTAAARGAGAATTTTGAGTGTTTGATGACACAATATTGGCAGCCTACCTAGTTAATTTTCTGGGGCTGGTTGTACAAACGGTGAATAGTGCTATCTACTGAATAAATCCTTATCTAGCAGATAAAATCCTTTTAAAATGTGTGAACAWTATGCTGATATTTATTATATAGATGAATTCTAACGTGTGCTCTGATTTGCCAAAAATGTGTGGTTTATGAGAGTATAAACCACGATTGTGTGCAAGCAATTTTTGAAAAAGGCAACAAAATGGATTATTGCTGAAGTTTTGCTCAAAATCTATATAATAAAACAAATAAATAAGTCTCAGCCTGTGGTTTATACTCTTATAAATGCACGCTTGGCATTTGAAACACACTCAAAAATGTCTAGAAGCAAAACAAAAAGTAAATAGAATTTTACAGGCCTTCAATTATTGTTTATTTTGTTTAAAGAATATAAAATTGATATTCTGCACTGAAGAAAATTTCATGTCTACTGTTTTACCATAAAGGTGAAACAGCTAACATAATGTTAAAGTTTGCAATAACAATAAAAAAGTTATGAAMCCAGTTTTGTCACTGAAACTTATCCTGGAGATATCTACCAAATATCTTTGAAATGGAAAACTAAATACTGCTAAATTTACACAGTCGTATTTTCCAATTGACACAATTTAGTAGTAATTTATTTTTTTTGTTTGCACCATCATTACACTGTTGCGCGAAAGTTGCGCGGCTAATGCACAATCCACGAGTTGCATTCTCTTCGACGGTACACAGGTAACCCAAGACCAAACTTGAAGGCGAAGTGTTAAAGATGTMKACACGTCTACAATACTATACAATAGGCTATGGTGCTAWAAAGAKGCATTGCTTGGTGTAACAAAGGTAAACATTYACCCCAAAAGCTGAATATCAARGTTTAAACRGTTGTTTCAAATGTTTTTGGGGTCCCTGTGGTACACCAAACGCCATTTTGAGTTCCCAAAAGGGACTAGCGGACGGCGACAAAATGGGGGTTCGTACTGCATTTATTGGTAAGTCAACGAAATATGCGTCAGTTCGTAGCTCTTCTATTCATATTATATATCTCCTTCTATCAAAGAATCTTTGCAAGTCTTAAGGAAGATAGCCAAAACTGCAAATAAGAGGTAAGCTTATTAACTTTATAACGAAATTCATGTGGCAAATTTTAAAATATTCGGACAGTCCCGCAAAGTTAATTTTAAAGTTAATCTTAACTTATTAAAAGTTCTTAAATTGGAAAAAAACAAGAGGGATTGATAAAAGCATAAAAGTTTTTAAACACAGCGAAAATCGAGGAAAAGGGGGGAAGGCAAGTTTTTTTGAGTTCAATTGAAACTGGACCTTCCTACAAGAACAATTCTTCGTATCCGAGTATTTTTTTTATTGCCTTTGAAGACCGAATAGGATGCTTTCTGGCAATATCCCCTTTGAGCTCCTTCCTTTTGTTTTCCTCCCAAAGCTCTTGCTCGACTGGCTCAACTGCCCTCTTTATTCGTTTACCAGGCTTTCCCCTGGGGGCGACCCCCTGGGGACCTAGAGGGATTTGTCAAAATCCATAAAACCTAATGAAATTCACGTGGGTGAGGGGCAGAATAGGAATAACAAAATGTCCCTGGGGATGGGAGGGGGGTTCGATTATCGGAAATCAGAAATGAATTTCTTGAACTGCAATAACTGTATTTGAATGCTTTCTCTACATTTTTAACCATCTTTCTCTCTAGTTTCCCATCAAAGTCTAAACTCTTCACAAGCATACCTCAAAATAACACATCAACAATACAAGAAATACCATCACACATTGCACTCCCTGTGTATGCTAAAACTGGTATAGTCCCAGACCCTCCCGGCAGTGTGGAAATCAAGAACAAAGAACAGATACAAGCTGTAAGACATGCTTGTCAAGTTGCACGTGGCGTGGTTACACTTGCTGGTCAACTTGTTAAAGTAAGTACTCAGAGATACCAACCCCCCCAGACTTTTCAAATCTGCAGATTTGTGGAATAGCAAATTATGCAAAATAGCATAAGTGACAATTTGCCATTTGGGTTTCCTGTGCTGACTCCCAGATAATTAAGAAATATAGAACGGTGTGCGTGTCTCTGTCCTCTGATATAAACACAGTAGGAGTTGAAAAATACGAGAGAAGCAAGCTTAGAAGCTTAGAAGTTTTTCTTTTGCTTCTCCAATGCTTTTCCAACTCCCACCATGTTTATATCAGATGACAGAGACACAAGTGGTTGTTTTATAAAATTGTTCTGTGTTTTTTGAGCAAAAAACAAATTTTGGCGGTAAACTGTGTCTCTGTCCTCTGATATAAACACGGTCATCAGCCAATCAGAGTGTACGTTATATTTAAAAAATTTTATAATCATRATACTACAGAAGAGTCGGTAACTATGGCAYTAGACAGACATAATCACTTGCTTGAGGACACCCTGGAATTAAGAACAYCTGGYGTTACAAGAACTGACRTTGAATATGGTATCCTGTGTTGCTGCATAGGTCCATCCAWTGAAGATCTTTGATGTAAGGCAAAAATATTGAAAATCTCTTTTAGCAGTGATATGACAAGCAATCAGCGCATTTTGGTTTTGAAGTATGCATTTATCACTGTTACTGTCCTGCAGTAGTCAATGTTTTTATCATAWTTTATATTATTTTTGTGTATATCAGGTTGGGGTTACCACTGAAGAGATAGACAGAGCTGTTTATCAGTCAATCATTGACCATGATGCCTACCCTTCACCCTTGAATTACAAAGGGTTTCCTAAATCAGTCTGTACATCAGTAAATAATGTAACAGTACATGGAATTCCTAACAGGTAAGTGAATGAAAATATCACTGTCTCTGTCAATCTCCTCAAACTGAATTGTAAAAAATTTTACTGTATATAAAATTTTTTTAAATTCTCAAGTAAAAAGTTTTTTACTCTGTTTTGTTAATAATAAATAAATTGAGAACTGGTAATAGGTTGATTTCCATATGGTAACACCTTCCTCACCAAAGTCCATTCATAACTCCAACGGCGTTCTTGATGGCACTACCCTTTGTTTTGCAAACRTGTAATGAAAAATGCTTAGAGGAACAAACATGCATAAATTACTTGAGTTGGTGAATCTGATTTTTACATTTGTTTGTTTGTCACAACTAAACTGTGCTGATTGGTCTAAAATCAGGCATTAGAGAATGTGTTTGGAGGCGATGTTCATGAGATGGAGTTTGACRGGCAAAGTCGTATCTTTGGATTGAGGCCTTCCTGGAAAATTTCTTAAAAGAAAATATGAATATTTTCTTTTTAGAACATAAAATTTTGGGATTGATGGTGAGATTTAAAATATTTTGAACAGTGTATCTAACTCTATTTATAAAAGTCTTCTTCCTTTTGTCTGCAAGAAAAAAAAAGACAGAAAGTGTTGTAAAGGAGACTAACAAATGGGAGTGTTGATAGTCCAAGAACTGAAATATCATCTTATCTTTATATTTCAGCTACTCATTAAAAGATGGGGATATAATAAGCATAGATGTATCTGTGAGTACTGTTAGAATTTAATTATGAAAATATATGCAAAAACAAATAAAAAGCTTTACTTGTTTTTCCCAAAGAAAGGTGAGCAGAGAGAGTGGTGCAATTTGCTTTTCATTATTAAATAACTTACCTCTTTGCGATTCCARTTTTCACTTTGTTTTTGTTCATTTGTCAGTAAAAAGTGTTGCATCTTGATCTTGATGCTTTGAAGTTTGTTTGTGTTTTTCATTCCTACTAAAAACTCTGGSAGGGGCTTGTATTTATTATTCCATTTCTAATAATACAGGTATTCATAGGTGGTKTCCATGGTGATCTTTGTGAAACATTTAYGGTTGGYAAGGTAGACAATTCTGGAAGTAAACTAGTGGATATTTCCAGGAAATGTCTGGACACTGCAATAGATATCTGTGGACCYGGTGTACGCTTCTCTACTATTGGAAATACCATCAGGTGAATAGGAATAATTATTTGTAACATATTAGTAACACTGAACTAATGAGTGCTCCAACATTATTTTGGATCTTGTTATTTTATGTTCCCAATTTAATGCAAATACAAGTCTGATGATAATATGAAAGAAAACAATGGTGAGCAAATTTAGATTGAATTTAGCACATGCAATATACAGTATGGAATGATTAGAGCCGACACACTTAATCCTGTGAAACTTAAATTAATGGTACAAAATAGACCTAATAGGCAATGTGCAGCAATTTTGCAGCAATACTATTTTGTAACACAAAGCATGATGGGAGTTGTAGTCCTCGCACTTGTTGAATCTTCAACAAGTAGAGATCATTGTTTTCTTTCATTAAACTTAACATATTTTGCAAAGTTACTAAAAAGGGTTAAAATGCATATCTTTGGCTACCTGTGGCCTACTGTGATAATTCCTTTGTCTTACATTTAGTGATAATTATTGATAAACATTTCACAGATTAAGTGCATCTACTCTACCAGACATCCTGGCTTATTATTATAGTTATAATGAAGTGAAAAAAATAAAATAAATAAATYTATGCTTGCAATAATCAGTGCCACACTATTTTCACAGTTCTTTAGCAGCTCAGAATGGTTTTAGTGTGTGTCCATACAGCCATGGTCATGGGATAGGCAGTGTATTCCATGCTTTACCAGATATATGTCATGTTGGTATGTATGGCATTTGATTTTTTATTTGAAATGTTGCCAATGATTGTTTAGGTTTAGAGTATAATTCTATAAGTCAACATGCATGGATCTCTTGGCATTTTTTTTTCAAGCATCTGATTTAACTCGGTTTGTTTCTTCTTGTCTTTTTCATTTTTTCTTTCTTCTTTCTTTTTTTTTAAAAAAAGCGTTGAGTTTACAGACTTTTATAGATGCACACTTTGAATTCAAATAAAATGTGACGAGAACAATACGGTGAACCCTGTTTTGACGCCAAATGTGCACAAACAAAAAGAATCTATTTGTCATTTGTTCTTTGATTGCATTGAATTAGATGTTCTTTTTATGTCTGCCATAGCTAACAGTCGTGCTGGTAAGATGGAACCAGGAATGACGTTTACCATAGGTATGGGCCGACCATCATATGATAGCTATTCTTATTATACTGTCCTCTATTGGTGGCGTTGCMATTCAAAAACATTAGACCTGCGTGCCGTGGGGTGTTTCACTTTTGTCATACCAATTTACACTTGCGATTTATGCAGTTTCCTTTTCTCGTTTCGTCTGATCCGTATGGAAAAGTACGGCCCGCTTTTTAGCCAATGAAATCGTGTGTTACATCCTCGCTCATAATGAATTATATATATACATACATCATATATATATATACCCGCTGCAATGATGTATGTTTGATTGTTCTAGAACCAGTGATTCTTGAGGGATTGCCAGGCATAGATGTTTTAGATGATGGGTGGACGATGGTAACGATAGATGGTAAAAGGTAAAGGACGACTCTTTTCCATATTTTACTTGTTAATGATTATGAAAATATCTTAGTTATCTGATGGATTAATTTCCATCAGGACAAAAAAATATCCAGGGACCGCGGAGCGGGATCTTGTTTGGGGGGGCTAGCGGCGAGGAGGTACTAGGGGGGTCGGAAATTTCTGAAATCTTAACTCTCGGAAATGCCATTTCCAGCGTTTTGAGGCGTTATCCAAAACATATTTACCGCACACACGGTCAGAGATATTATCAATAAACGCAAAGAATTCATAAGGAGGCTCTTCGCTTCTTTATTTAAGAAAATTCAAAATGTCGGAAATATTATTGGGGGTGCTCTAGCCCCCCAGCCCCCCCTGCTCCGCGGTCCCTGATATCAGAATGAACGTTTCCAAGCGAATTCAATGCCGTGAAAAATGCGAACTTGTGCAAAAACACAGTTACAGCAAAACGGAAATAAAACATGAAACAAACACATGAGAAATGTTCGCCAGTTAGTTGAGTAATAACTAAATGAAAGTAAAAGCTTTTTTCCAGCGTTTCCAATTCTAAGATTTTTTTATTTTTATAGAGCTGCACAATTCGAGGAAACAGTTTTGATAACAAGTGACGGCGTCGAGGTTTTAACGCAGGATCCGCTTAAATAGAATCAAGGGACATTGATTTCTGGATAGGTTATCAAAATGTTGATTTCAGATTTAAGTCTTTTCACTTTTACAGTAATTAAACTAAAATTTTATTAGAAGTGTGGTTTCTCAATTTAATGAATGCAGCATTTCTTCTATTTTTTAATTAATTAATTAAATTTTTTGTTGGTTGGTTGGTTGGTTTAAAATTGCATGAAATGTCTTATTAATTGTTTTGTTTTGTATTTTTTGTTTGTTTTGTTTTGTTTGTTGGTTTGTGCGTTGGTTTAAATTTTTATGACATGTGTTATTAATTGTTTTGTTTGTTTGTTTTGTGTTTCGTTTTGTGTTGTTGTTTTTTGGTTAATTGCGTAGATCATGACAATCAATGATAATCCCAAAATTCAGAAAAGAAAAAAACGAACTAAAGTAAAATGTACACATTTTTAAGGAAACTGAAAAAGAGTGAAAAAATAAGCAAGCTAAACAAAACGAGGAATTGACAATAGCGTTACTAAATAAGTGGAGCAATGTGTCGGCGTTCCCTTTTTTGGTGGTCTTACTGTGTCAACTTGTAACGAGAGGGACCGGGCAATACACCTTTTCCTCCCTATTTTCCTTCGTTTCTTTGCTGCGGTATTAGTTTTGAACTGCGTTTATATTCTAGAAGAGAGGACGARATTGAAGTAGGCTCAAGATGAACGGTAATTACATGAATTTCCAACAAAACCTATTTTTGTTATGATGTTCGCCAAGGCGGAAGTGCCTTGAAAGCGGCATAACAACCGCCGATAAAAATGGACGTTGGAACTATAGTTACAAACCCTTGTCACAAGAATTTGTCTATACAATATATACAGTGCATAGGGAAAGGCTCCTATGGCGAGGTCTGGTCGGCCAGGTGGAAAGATCGGCTTGTGGCGGCTAAGAAGCTTGATGAGAAATACTTCAATCTCGACTACGATGAAGAAATCAAGGAACGCTACAAGGAAGAGCTCAAAAGGGAATCTCAAGTGTTGTACACTTTGATTCATCCAAATATACTTAGAATGTACACAATATTGTTCCCAGTGGATCAATCTCCAGTCATAATAACCGAATTGCTACACTGTGATTTAAGAAAGTTTATTGAAACGTCCGAAACGGTTCCAAAAGTCGTTCCGAGTRCAATGAAGRTTATCTCTCTAGGTGTAGCAGAAGGACTTGTCTATTTGCATGGTCTTCAACTCCCTGTTGTCCACAGGGATATATCAACAAAGAATATTCTTCTAACCAAAGATMAGCAGCCAAAGATTGSCGACTTGGGTGTCGCTAAGGTGTTTAACACATGTCGAGATGAATATGCAACAGCTAACCCTGGTACACCTATCTACTCCGCACCTGAGACAATTGGMAATGACTTTCATGAATTAAAATACGGCGTCAAGGCAGATATCTTCTCATTTGGGGTTGTTGTTATGGCAATGATAAATGGTCGTGAGCCTCTCGCKCCTAATAAAACGAAAAAAGGTGAGATTTAAGAGACTTGCATTGCATCCCGTGCGGGGAGGGGGAGGGAAGGTATTCAGTGACCATGCATAATATTTATCAAGATTATCCATTGTTTTCTTGGAGCATCGTGTGCGTTCTTTTGTATATAGGCATCAAACCAAAATGTCTAAAGTTGACTATTTAGGACTGGACGTGATTAATGATTTTAAGTCTGCTTTTAAGCAAAAAAAAGAAAAAAAAAATATTAAAATAAAATGCTCCAGTCTTGTCATAACATCAGTTCCAGTACATCAGACTAGAGCAAATTATATTTTGTTAAGCTTGAAATCATTATTAATCATGTACAGTAGGACTTTCATTAGAAATCATGTSCTGCCCAGTATTAATGGAAGACTTTGAAATGACTTATAATTAAAAGGAAAAAAAAAATGAAGGAAATTTAAAAGATTGGAGTTATTTCGTGTYCGTGTAATATAGAGGTGTCCGTGTATGTGTTTATGCAGGAATTGAGATTTTCATAATTTTCTGTACATTTTGAGCATTTTCTAATGTTCTCCAATTGGATGATCAGGCAACTTGAACAAAAGCTAGTCAAATTCTGTTCTATTTCTATTTTTAATGGTCTTTGAATATTTTGATGCTTTGTACTAAAGAAATGTATGGGYGCTACATGTTTCGAGTTCCTTATAGGTTTCTGGCACTAATTAGTTAAGAATTGTTTCACACTTATATTGCATACGCTCAAGGGTTTTTATTAGGGACTGTTTTCCTTTATTGGGAAGGAGGTACTTGTGGTTTCGAAAATAAAAGCCAATTGTTAGAGGGGAACATGCAAAATTTTTATCCTATATTACTGGTATATGCAATTAACAACATAGGGGATGAAGGGGGAGGGTCATTTGAAAAAAATTGTATCCAACTAGAGGTGGGGGATGTTATGTTTTCTTTGGGAATGTTTTAAAAACCACCAGTTGATTGTGCAATCTCTGCTKGTGGGTATCCTATTGTTTCCAGCACTTCACTAAATTATTGTCGTGCCTTAGCGTGATATTCCATTATTTTTTAATGAATATCATGCTGATAGTGATCACTTTCTATTTGTATGCACAGGAAGTAAGATTCCAGAAAAGGAGAGAAGGAAGAAAGATGTTGACTCAATGGGAGACCATCCTTTAAAGCCTCTTGTTCTTGAATGTCTAATTGACAAAGCCTCTAAGAGACCAACAGCCAAAGAAATTATCAAAAAACTTGAGAAAATCCATAAACAAAGTGATATAGAGTTGCGGGCAGAAAGTGAAACAAAGGCAAATGACATAGTAGGYCATGAAGAAGCTGAAGTAAGCACAAGTGACACATGTACAAGAAGCCATTTTGAAAAAATCTGCACACAACACMACTATGACTACAGATTTAAAATTCTGCTTATCGGAGATAGCGGTGTTGGCAAAACATGCTTGGTGCATAAACTCAGAAACCCTGAGTATGAATACCTTTTATGTCAAGCTACAATAGGAATTGAGCCTTATAAACAAGCATTCAGATACAACTCCAAAACTGTTGAGCTACTGATAACTGATACAGCAGGCCAGGAGCAATTTTTTTCAATTCAGCCACAKTATTTTCRTRATATTCAGGGTATGTTTCTGGTSTATGACGTYTTGTCAGAGAAAACGTTCAAAGATCTKSWTWAMTGGATTGATTTTGCCAAAAMRYATTTTYCAAATTCCTGTGTACACGTTGTCGTGGTTGGCAATAAAGTGGACTGCAAAGAAGAAGGTAATTTTGCAAAGAAGGGGGACTAATAACCTGCATAAGCAAGCATTCCCAGCCACCCCCAGCAAGGACGTTTGGGCCTTCTGGTTGTCTTTGGTCCAAAGTCACACAGAGCTGCTTGGAATGTTTGGCTATGCAGGCTAGGGGAACAATGTCAGATGACTTTGAGAGCCTCTTTGGGGGGGGGGGGGGGGGGGGCAGGGGAGTGTTGACAATGATTGTGGGATTTTGGAGAGCATGGAGTAAAACCTTTTTGGGGAAGTGGAGCTATTGGACACATTTATGTTAGGGGAAATGAATTTTCTTAATACTGTTACGTGATGAAATGTATTGAAATGCATTTTTGGTTCTATCCCTGTATAATGGAGAGTGCATTGTTTCTGGCTATCATGTCCATACAATCAAGGCCATCAAGAACTTCAATGGAAAGCTAATTTTAATCAAACTTAAAAGTTTTAAATTACTAAAAATAAATGAATCCTCTGCGTTTACTAGTGATATTTTTGATACCGAGCTTAAAATTGTTACTTTGTACTGTGCGGTTTTATAGCAGGATTGCGGTTATGCAATATGCAATATTACAGCTAGTATCCAGTATTCAAGGCTTTCTGAAATACAGGTATTTAAATTCTGATTTAACACGTTTTAGGTAAGAAAGCTAAAAGAAAAATCACACGAGAACGAGGACAAGCCTTTGCAGACAGTCTTGGATATCCTTACGTTGAAACAAGTGTTACGCCAGAATATTCACACACTATCATGGCAATGTATGAAAAGATGGTGGAAATTATGGTACAGACCACAGCTCCAGAGAGTGTTAATGTCAATGTTAAAGACACAAAAACTGATACAGTTAAACTTGATGAGGCGTCCAGTCAATCTAAATCAAAGTGTCCTTGTTAAAATTCTTACTGGTCTTGATAAAGAGACAAGCTGACCCAGTGTGCAGTTGGGTGTGGTCGGGTAAGAGGAATGCTTTGTCGGTCGCCTAAGGTCGTTATACTTTCCTATTGCTAGTATTTTTAATGCAGTTGATATATGTTATCAAATGGACACCTTCGTGGTGGTCGAAATAACGAGTCATTTTGGAAGATAGTTAGGTATAGGAGAATATTTTTTAGAATTCAAAATATATTATATATTAATATAAGCCTACTTTCAAAAGTGCTTTCCRCTGATTTCATACAATGGACAATATACATGTAAAGCATACAGCACTGCCATATGGAAGATCCTTTAGACATAGACATTTATAGAAAGTTYTGAAGCTATTACAAAATGTTAACGAAGTTAAGTAAGGATAAAGATACAAGGATTTGTATGAAATTGTTCGTACTGGCGTTTGTTACTTCGTTCTGGTGTTTTTTTTTTACCTCATAACTTCAAAAGGATTGATTTTTTATGAAAGTTTGATGACTTCTTTTGTTTTGATTTCTATCACCGGAGTGTTTTATGAATTTCTAAAGCGATAGTCTGCTAATTAGTGGTAGTAACGATATTATATTGAATAATATAGTTGTATATAGAATAGTCACAATATTACTATGGTTATGCTATAACGAAAGTAAATGTAAAAGAAAAATAATTAAATAAAAGAGTCGTGCATTCAATTTGAAACTCRAACTATTCGAAATCATGCAGAGAGCTGCTCTGAATTTCCAACAAATCCGGGTAATTGACCTACATTTTACTTGACCTAAACAATGTAAAGGAAGAAATGGTATTTTTATAGTCCTAGAACATGTTATATGGCCCCCTCTAGCATCAATTTTTAATTACTTATTCGACTTCATTGTACGTTGCCTAAGAATCCGTCACTACATGGGCTTCCTGTGGAAAAAGTTGAAATTGCATAAAACGTCAGACCGAATAATTATTTTAAGCAAAGGAAAAACTAATTGTCTTTGGACTTTTAGGCACTTGTGGAAATGTACGGCCCTCATTCATCCAATCACGGCACACGTTACAAACTTCCTTTATAATTCTATGTTGGCGGCTGGGGCTGGGTTGAAAAAAACTATGGAGTTAACCCTGAATTAGCTCTAATCGGGCTTTGAACAACCAGGTCCGCCGGTATGTTAACTCATATGCTCTCTTATCACTTGTCAGGCTCTCGATATGATAAAATGCCGAACACCAAGTGCGCCCTCGAGAATATTTACGTTCGAGAACTTAAGAAAATGGGCAAAACGTCCGTCTACTTCCGTGCTCTTAGCGAAGCGATGTTGTCTACAATGTACGATGTTGATTCAGTCTCGTTAGCCAATCAACGCGCGAGGATTCGCAGATGTATTTCAAAAATAARTAATAGGTGATATTAAAGAAATATAGTGCCAAAATTTGAGAGATTTAAAACCATTTTARATTCCGAGTAAAGTAGATATATGCTCGCCTAATTGCAAAAACGTTGTCCTGAGATTCAGGAACATAGAAATACATTAAAAGACAAAAAATGGCYCGAGACAAGAAGAAAGGTTTCTATATTGTATTCTTAATAAATTCKTATAATCTAAAGCTCTTTTCTTGGTGGACAACGGTTTGATAAGTGCTTCTGGTACTTGCTGTAGTGACTTCTATCAGTCTCTTGTGCAAAAAACACAGACAAGCTTCTTTTTGATGCCTTTGCGAATGTAGGACAGACGCAGTGACATGATAATTGGGTTGATGAGAGACTGGAGTTTTACAAACGTTGAGCAAATAGGCATGGAGATGTATTGAAAATCACTTGTCACATCTTTACCMTTYACGGCTTCTATCCCTGTGACTATAATGAAAGGAAAATAAAAGAGAATCGACAAAACCACTAACATGGTCATCGTGAACACTCGCTTGTATTCCTGGAGTCGTTCTTGTTGTTGCTGTTCGTCTGGTTGTTGGACTGAAGCTTGCTGAAGGGCGATGGTTCTACTCTGACGATAAGCTGTTAGCTGTACTTTAGATGAGCAGTAGAAGATGACCAAACTAAGAATACTCATGCCTACAGTTCCTTGAACTTTCAATAGGTTCCGCTGTTTTCTATACAGGAAAATTGTACTTATCAACAAATATCCCAAGCATATCAGCCAAACAACCACAGTTATTATCATAACATGTTTTCCTGTAATGTTATTTCGATAGAAATTCGGTTTTTCAATGGCTAAATACCGCTCGACACTAGCGATCATGAAACTAAGCATTGTTAAACTCAAGCAAACCATCAGCGATAAAATGTAAGCACTGAAAATACAGTCACTCGAAGTACAAATGCTTTTGTACATAAAACATCCAAGTAATAAACAATGCAATGGATCGACCAGCAATCCTACAAGTAAATCAGTCACTGCCAAAGAGGCAAGCAAAACGTTGAAGGCAGAAGATCGAAGATTTTTATCCCCCACTACAGCCAAAATGACGAGGGAGTTGACGATAACTGTCGGTGGGGCAGCAAGGCCGTTTATAATGATGAGAATTGTCCAACTTAGGTGCACAGTGTTTGGGACGCCCATGCTGTGAGGATTAAAATCTACAAATGAAATGAAGCAGACATCGGGTGTGTTCATAGGCAAGTCGGCTCTAGAAGAGTTCTTGGTCATGGCAGTAATCAACAGTTGTGGATATCGGATGAAAGTGTTTCACCGATTTAGCTGACTGACTCTTTAATTGTTTTGACTTGGATAACAAAAACCGATATTGCACCGATATTTCAACTGTACTAAAAAAAGGGTGGAGCCTGATCGATAACATAACTGAGACGTCGAAGATATATACAATCGTCTATCGAAAAGTCATAAAAAGAATTATAAATACTTCTTTCATGAGTTCTCGAAAAGCGACTACTCAAGGCAAGGAAACATAGCCACGAAGACTATGACCAAAACGCACCTGCGAATGTACACTGGCATTACTAAGTCTTTATTTGTCATTCGAGGACAATATATCTAAAAAGAGAAAATATGCATTTCCTTGACTGAGACAAGTGTCGTCGTTTGACAGAGAACTATATTGTGCATGATATCAAAGCAATATAAGTAATGTACGGTGTACTTTTAAAATGGTCATGACACTTAAATTGGTTAGAAAGCTGAACCTTCTAAATAGTCATTGGWAATCCTTTTGCGCATGTGCACTGTTATTACTGTGTATTTGAYGCGTCATCAGTCTTAAGCAAGTAAGCTCGCCGAATACTAAAAGATAACCATTAATGTGAAAACAATAGGCCTTTTGCATCATGAAACCGTCACATGGTACTAAATCCGCCATGCTGGGTGGCAAATCTAAATAACCTCAATACCTCAAAAAAAAAAAAAAAAAAAAAAAAACAACAACAACAACAACAACAACAACAACAAAAACAACAAAAAAAAACAACAAAAAAACAAAAACAAAACAAAACAAAAGGAAAGCAGACAGTTGAACATCCTAGTAGGTATTTTGCCATCCAGTAAGGCGGATTTAGTACCATTTTACGTTTCATGYAAGAGGCCTATTATGGCTGGCAAGGAAACAGTCATGAATAAAGAAGCAAGAAGAAGATTGAAGGAACAAAATCGTAGATTTTCATTCCAAGCATCCGCAGGCACAAGCGATGACAATTCTTAAAAAATACTCTACAACTGAGCAAGAAACAAATAAATAAACAAAAAAAGCTAAAATCTACTCACTCAGATAGTTAGTCAKTAAATAGGTGAAATGAGAAAGTTCATACAAAGCATTTTGAATAAAATTCGACTTGAAACTCGTTTTTTAGGCTACCATTTGCATRTATGTCCGCCATACTTTTAAAATGAGCCGGTCAAACCTACATTTTAGCAAAAACAAACTAAATAAAGCATCATTGTGCAATAGTCTCCTTCACGGTTACCTGCGCCATGTTGAAAGGTATAGCCGTGCCTTTTAGACTATTTGCATCGAAGCGAGACAACCGTTGAGCGTGCAATGATAGAAACCTGTGAATAATTGTCTGTAGGTGTGAAAGAAGGTTTCTATCATTGCACGCTCAACAGTCGTCTCGCTTCGATGCAAAGGCACGGCTRCCTWTCAAGATGGCGCAGGTAACCAAGAAGGAGACTATTGAAAACACCCCATCAAACAAGAGTGTATTTGTAGTACATTAGTTTCTAACTGTTAAAAAAGGCCAAAGGTTTTTGGCTCTCCTTATCGTTSGTCAGTAAAACAACRCTCCTCTAAATGTATCCGCAATTAGTTGTAAATGGGCCTTTGCGAATGTGAGTTGCAAAAGAGAATGCAAAGAAACAACATTTTTTGTCGCCAGTGACTAATTTGTAATATAATAGGATACATTTCAAGACAGTAATTTGGATTCTGCATTCCTCTTGTTCTATTCCATTCCGTTTCTTTTACCCTTGCCGTGAATTCTGGTTWCCATAACCAATTTGTAAACAAATTTTTGAAAATGTTACTTGAAGTTATACACCGTATACGGCGCTATTTTAGAAAACGYTGTGTACTGATTRCCGCATGCTACATATTGCAGTGCATTGTTGCCATYAAACTCCATGTTAGCTTTCCATTGAACATGATTGGAGAGMTGGTATAGTCATTGAGAAACCGCGAATTAAACCTCCTTCTCGACAGCGATAGATTGACAAACAATGCATATTAGGCTTGGAATACACTATCTTCATTATTCACCCTTACTGAGCTGTACGCATACGGTACGAAATGTACTCTAATTATTCTCTTGTGCAAGGCAAGCAAGCTTATTTTTAACGCCTTTACGAATGCAGGTCAGACGCAGTGACATGATAATTGGATTGATGAGAGACTGGAGTTGGACAAATGACGTACAAATAGGCATGGCGATGTGGTGAACACCACTCGTTACATCTTCATCCATCACGGCTTGTATTGCTGAGACTATAATGAAAGGAGTGTAAAAAAGAATCGACAAAACTACTAATATGGTCATTGTGAACACTCGCTTGTATTCCTGGAGTCGTTGTTCTTGTTGCTGCTGTTCGTCGGGCTGTTGAACTGATGCTGTCTGTGCAGCGATTGTTCTTCTCTGACGGTAAGCTGTGATCTGTACTTTAGATGAGCAATACAAACTGATCGTACATAGAATACCCATTAATATAATTGCTTGAACTTTCAATACATTTGGATGGGTTTTGTATAGTAAAAGTGTATTTATCAACAAGTAACACAGACTTATAACGCAGACAATTGMTGTTATCGTCATGACTTGTTTTCTCGTAATCCTGAGATATAAATTTGGTTTTTCTATGGCTAAATACCGCTCAATACTTGCAATCGTGAAGCTCAGCATCGTTATACTCCAGCATAGYGTCAGCGACAAAATGTACCCAGTGAAAATACAGTCAATCGGAAGGCAATTGTTCATAACACATCCAAGTATGAGGCAATATAATGGATCGACCAGCAATCCTGCAARGAAATCAGAMACTGCTAATGAGGCAAGTAACATGTTGAAGGCAGAGGAGCGAAGATTTTCATTCCCAACCACAGCCCATATGACGAGGGCGTTGACGGCGATTGTCGGTGGGGCAGARAGGCCAATGATAGTCATAACAAAAACCCAAATTGGGTGGATCGAATTTGGAAGGCTGATATAATAAGGATTAAGACTTTCATACGGTATGAAGCAGAAATCAGGCATGGTGGCAGAACCCATGGCAGAAGAAGAGTTGTTAACCATCATACCAAGCAATAGCTGTGATGATACGTTCTTCACGGATAAAGTTGACCAACTTCAATCAAGGCACAATTGTTTGGCTTACACTGACTTGAGAGAAGCAATAGCGACAATGATACTTCTGTAAGGTATATTTCGCAAGAACTGGAAAGAGAATCCTGATCAATAATATTAAATCGAAGATGAAGATATATATATCAGTTGATGCCATGAAATGCTCAAAGCCAAGAGGGTCCTTGCAAGTACATTAACTGTTAAGACTGATTATATGAAAAAAGCAAAATTTTCGCCTTATTCATCTCTCTTATTATCATCACCACGGCTTCGAGCAATGTTCGTTAAAGTCCAATCAGTCATTCAGCATTAACAGACAATCTTRAAAGTTGAAAGCGCTATTATTTGACTGCACCAGAAATATTTCAGGGTACTGAATGAGAACAAAGATGTAAAATATGAATTGAAAGGGCTTTGCTATAAAA